GGTGGAGACGTGCGCGACATGGCGGGAGAGAAATAAAAAATCAACGGTGGCCGAAAATTTTAGAATGACCCTGCATACTTTACAGTTACAAGACATTGATAAAAAGGATATGCACTTTTTCTTGAGGCTTTTACATGTATACCATTAAAAAAGTTTGTAATTACGTATAAGTCATTAAAAAAATTGACCGCACACGAGTGCCATCGTTCTGAACTTCTTTGCTCTCCAAGCCATTCCGTCGGTGTTCTGTTCGTTTTTCACCGTTACATGTGGCCCCGGTCAGTATAAAGGTCCAAAATACCCTTCTCTCATCCTATCCTCTTGCTTCTTTAGTCCACACCGCTTGCGCTCGTGTCCGAGGCCGGCGGAGCTCGCACCCGCGCCCAGCAGACCTCACGCTCGCGCTCGCGTTCACGCCCGGTGGAGCTCACGCTCGCGCTTGCCGCCGGCTGAGCCCCGCTCGGCGGAGCTCACGCCTGCGCTCACGTCCGCGGTCGGCGGAGCTCGTGATCGAGCTCACGGCCGCCATCCCCTCTGTCAGCGGCGGCGGCATCCACACCCGGCCTCGCGCTCGCGACCGCCTATCCCCTCCGACAGCGGCAGCGTCGTCCACGCCGGCCTCGCGCTCGTGCTCATGACCGCCATCCCCTTCAGCAACGGCGTCATCGTCCACGCCCGGCTTCCCCTCGCGCTTGCGCCCGGCACAGCCCCGCTCGGCGGAGCTCGCGCTCGAGCTCGCGGCCGCCATCCCCTCCGTCAGCGCTCGTGCTCGCGACAGTGGGCGTGCCCACCGCGCTGTGCCGCCGCGCGCTCTGCGCCCGAGCGAGGTGCAGGCGCGCCTCCCGCACCGCCGCGGCCAAGAAGAAGGAGATGGCAGTGCTGCGGATGGTGGCCACTCTGGCCGCGGCCATCCTCAAGGTGGTCGTCGCCGTCGGCGTCGTCGCCGTGTTCGGGGGGCAGCTCCACTCTGACCACAGTGCCACCTCATCCAGGCTAACGCGCGCGAGCTCGCAGCCACGGTGACCGCCTCGGCGCCGCTTCTCCGCGCGGCCACCCAGCCTAGCCTCGGCCGCCGCAGGGGCGCACGGGGGAGCTCCGCCCCGGCTGTCGCGGGCGCGCGCGGGCAAGCTCCGCCCCGGCCGCACGCACAAGAAGAGAGATCGAGTTTGAGAGAGAGAGAGAGAGCTTGAGAGAGAGAGAGGATAGGGATGAGAGGGGTATTATGGACGTTTTGACTGACCTGACCCACTTGTCAGGACTCCCAAACGATGAAAAACGAATAGAACACCGATGGAATGGCTTGGAGAGCAAAGAAGTTCAGAACGATGGCACTCGTGTGCGGTCAATTTTTTTAATGGCTTATGCGTAATTACAAATTTTTTTAATGGCATACGTATAAAAGCCTCCTTTTTCTTCGGGTCGTTTTCCCATCTAAGATTGTTTTAAATTTTGAATATTAACATGTGACAACTTCAAATAGACTTTGGGGATCATAAACAATTTCTAAAAAAAATCACCATCCCCCAAAGTTATGGATCTCACCAAGATCTACAACTTTGCTTCTCTTTGTTTTTCATCCGAGGTAATTTGGAAATTTTGAATTTTAGAATATGAGAACATTAAATATAATTTTAGAACCATATAAATGAAAAAATCATCAAGTACAACATTACTGATTCAGGATTGGTTTTGGTTTTTCTCCATCCGAGCGCAAGCATCTAGAGCATGCACATAATTATATGGAGCTATGTGAGAGAGGTACATATCTGTAAAAAAATGTACAATTCCATTCTATTAAAATAATTTGAAATTTTTTTAACAAGCTTATGGGCCCAAAATATGTTGCTATGTCGGTTTGCAGAATTTTCACACAAGATTTAAATATTATTGTTTTGTGGAATTACTATAAAATAAATATGGACCTAAAATAATAGATACATCTGTCACATAGTTGTATGATTAGTGAGAGATATATTTATTTGTGAACAATATATAATCCCACTTATTTTGATTGTGTGGAACTTTTATGGAATGCATATGGACACAAAATACGCTGTTGTGTCAAGTTGTCAAAGTATTTAAAAGTAACAACAATCAATGCTAAATCTAGCATGATAAGGTTTTGTCTAACAAGTTTCATGAGTTTTGGGTAGTCTAAGTTGTTTTGTAGGATTTGTCGAAAGTTTATCTAAATGCATAGCAAAAGTTAAGTATCTAGAAAAGCATGATAAGTATGATAAGGTTTTATCTAGCATGATAAGGTTTTATCTAACATGATAAGTATGTATCTAGATATATTGTATATCTAAATGCATAGCAAAAGTTATGTATTCAGAAAAGCCAAAATATTTTATAATGTATAATTGAGAGAGTACTTTACATTTTCCATAATTTAATAATCCCCAAATCTTCTTTGAATTTTTTGAAATTTCATGGTGGATCGAAATTCATCTTCATAACATTTCAAAAAGGTTTTACCAAGAAATTGTAACTACGATAGTCATATGCTTCGTTTGACCTCCAACTAAAAGCACTCATTCCTATATGAAAATAATAAAACCTTTTATTTCAAATATATTTTAAATAACTTTAATATTTTGGCAATAAGGTACCTTTTTTTTAGGAATTAAAATGTATTTATGTCGTGTTATTGGAATTACTTCACACTTGAACTACTCCCTCTATTTGAATAATAAATCATTCTGGCTTTTCTAGATATATAGTAAATGTATGTATCTAAATATAGTGTATACCTTGAGACATAGAAAAAGATATTTATTTGGAAAATCCAGAGCTACTTAGTTTGGAACAAAGGGAGTACATGTGTGAGAAAAAAGCAGGTAGGCGGGGTTTCCATCCTAACTTGATGGAGATCATGGAGGCAGTGATGGAGTGGCGACAAACGAAAGGGAGCCGCTCCCTATTTATGCTCGTTGCCTGGGAGCTATATATGGAAGGAGCAGAACGTCAGGTGTTTCCGCGACGCCTCAGGCACTATAGTGCAGCTCCTAAAGCCTTTGACATTGATCTGCATATGATGACTTTGTTAGTTTTGAGATTTTTTGGCTTAATTTTTTAAGATGTCTATAGTAGTAGGATTTGCATACGTATGTTCATAAAAGTGAGTATGCACGCATTTTTATGGGGAACTATGTTTGTCTTGTGGGATTAAAAAACAAAACATGTATACAAGTTTACAATTGGTGTAATTCAAAATTTAGAGGGGACCAAACCATGTCCTTATAACATTAAAAAAAATCAAGAAAATCTAAATGAGGTGATACTTTTCTTCATTTGGTATATTCATTTTAAAGCATATGTTTCTAGTCATCCTTTTTTCCCACTAGCAAGTTCTTTAAAATGGCTATTACACTATTAGTCGTCCTTTTATTTTAATTTCTTGTGAATAATACATTTCAATTTTTACTAATTGGATATGTGCCTATTTATTAGAATTAATAAAAATTTGAACTACAAGTCATGTATAAAAGGATCTTAAAGTTACAAGAAAGTGTATACATGAATACAAAATGTGTTTTAAGGCATATACAAATTTGTTCTCATGCAAAATGTATTGTGCCAAAGCATATTCCTTAATGTCTTAAAAGCCTCAAATCGGTGCAACCCCAATGCCACACTATTGGAAGAGTTGTATTGTGCCAAAGCATATTCTTCAATGTACTGAGTTTTTTTAGAACATTATAAGTTTTGATATGAGATCAAACTACATTTTCTAATAATAAACCACGAACAAAGGTTTTACAAGGAAAATCAATTTGAGGTGATTATTAATAAAATATAAAATCTATCCTTTTTACTTGAAAAGTGTAGTATAACCTTAATTTCACATATTTATATATGTAAGATAAATTTAGTTATAACTTTGTTTCATAGTATCTTCAAAAATTTTAAAACCAATTAACTAAAAGATCTATTGAATTGAAAATAATATAAAATGTTTTAGAGGGCGGTTGAGCGGCTGAGCCTAAGGTGGTGTTTGGATCCGTGATTAAAATTTAGGAGGTGTGTCGGGAGGATATTGCATGGGGTGTTCGGATACTAATAAAAAAATAAATTACATAATCCGTCAGTACTTCACGAGACGATTTTTTAAGCCTAATTAATCCATCATTAGCACATATTTACTGTAGTGCTACATTGTCAAATCATAAACTAATTAGGCTTAAAAGATTCGTCTCGCAAATTAGTCGCAAACTATGTAATTAGTTTTGTAATTAGTCTATATTTAATACTCTATACATGTGTCTAAACATTTGATGTGACAACGACTAAAATTTAGGAGGGACAACCAAACACCACCTAAAGTGCCAAAAATTTTGGCGGCTAATGTTCTGTTCGCTTGACTGATAAGCCATGGCTAAAAATACTGTTGACTGATATTTTTTAAAGAAAAATAATGTTTGTTGATTGAAAAAATATAGCTTAAATCGACGCCCGTCAGATCAAATTCTTCTCCTTTTATTAATCCCCCTCGTGCACTTCCCCGACAAATGACACCTCTCCATCTTCCCCCATCCCCTCAAAAAGTATAGCGTAAATTGACGCCCGTCAGATCCAAATTCGTCTCCTTTTATTAATCCCCCTCGTGCACTTCCCCGACAAATGACACCTCTCCATCTCCCCGAATCCCCTCAGATCCACCTGGTGCTCCCGTCCCCAGTCCGCCGCCGTCAGGCTCACGAGCAACCTGCCGCCTGCCGGCCACCACCTGCCGCGGTGCTCTGGGCTGTAGGCATGGATGTCTACACACAGGAGCGGAGGCACGGCCTCGGTGGCGCAGGCATGGATGCATCTCCCAGCGGTGGCCTCGGCACGAGACAGAGGCGCATCCCCGGTGGCAGCCCCGGCGCGGGCGCGGAGATCCTTGGTTTAGGAGCGGCGGTAGACCTTGCGCGCTTGCGTGCGCGGCGTTGGTGCCAGTGCTGTTGTGGCCGCCCTAGCCCTAGCTTCCACAACTGGCCACAGCGACGATATTGTCAATGGAGAAGCCCCGGCAGGTGGTGCGGAAGTTGCCGGCCTGGCTGAAGCACGAGGGTGTCTGCACCGTCATCTGCCGCAACATCGGGAGGTAGGTTTCGTTTCAGATGATGAGCCTTTAGTCTGCATGTCCTGGAGAAGCTGAAGGAATTGACATTTCTTGACTTTTTGCCAATTGGGGTGTAATTCGGTCCATGCAGGTTCTAGATGAGGTACATCGATCAGTTCCTTGTCCTCGACGAGTTATCCAGTGAGCCCTTCCATTCGTCCTTTTCTCTTTCTGAACGACAAATCATCATCTTTGCATCTCCCACTTAGTGGGCGTTAGACTTAGGTTTTGCATAATTAACATGTGCTAGTCTCCTTTCAAATTCATTAAATTGTTAGCCTCAGCGATTTTTATTTGATAAATTGTATACTGCTCTAGTCAATTGAGGCTTGCTATTTGTTTGATAGATTACATAGTACTGCTCTAGTCAACTGAGACTTGATATTTGTTTGATAGATTAGATAGGATAATAAATTTGCTTGTTCAAGATCAATCAGTGAGGGCAACTACTACGCCATACGGAGAGCGCGCCAGTGCTTCTGGTCTTTTGTATGAGGCTAGGAACAGTAGCTTGAAAAGCCAGGCTTCAGATGTAGGGGCAGCCGGGCAGCAGGGGCAGGTGATGGCGTGCATCTGGAGTTCACTGAACATTTTGACTGGATGTTGAATTCAGTTTGTGATGAGAGTACTGAATGTTGCAACCTTTCACCTAGGCAGATATTGGTGTTTCCTACTAATGTTGTAGGAGCTAATGTGCCTCTACCTGATGGCCTGTAGTACTGCGGGTTTGCATCCAACAATTCTGGCATAGATAGATCATGGATAGAACCTATTGGCAAATAGGCTTAACAGTGGGAAAGGTAATTATTTTTTTCCTGAACTAATGAAACTGTAGGACTTAATTAAATGCATATGACAACATTGACATGCTATATTCACTCTTTATGCAAAAGAAAGCTATTCATTTCTCCCATTAAAAAAGATGGCAAAAGAGCTAAGCATATATACAAAACTAAATTTCTTCCCCATGCTCCATGCCGCAACACAAGTGACAAAGGATAGTGCTTTGAGAATTCAGATACTTAACTGACATTCTTTTGCTATACTGAACAATTAACCAAAGTTGACGTACTTAATTTTCATAAATAAAATGACGCAATTACAATCTTCGCCTTCTCAAATTGCCACATTAATCATAGTCTCATACTATCAATTTGACAAATACATTCAACCATTTACAGTTGTGAAATTGTTGCCTTGCTGGCTAATTTGGTCTGCTGTTGCTTTCTCACTGTCTATAGTTTGTGCATTTACAGTTGCAGGATGTCGTCTGAGCTGCTAAATTGTGGGGGATGAGGAGTGGGAGAACGATGACCAGTCACTTACAGTTACAGACTGAGCTGCTGAATTTCAGTTTTGCATGGCTAGCAGGTGGGGTTGGCTGATCTTTGCCTTATGCTTTTGCTTGTTACGTCATATAAATTTTTATCTTGCTGCGGTGACTTGACATGTGAGTGTGACTGAGTCTTTTAGAAACTGAGCAGGTGCTTTTGCATATGAACTAATTTGTCTTCGGTTTATTTTGTAGTTCTATGATGACCACTGATATTTAGACATGATCTATCCTGAATTTATGCACTCATGTGATGTTAATAAGTGCTTCTGTACTGATCTGATAACATGTTAAGTAGCTGCCATTTGTCAATTGTCAATTGCTATATGCTCCAGCATTTACGGACTAGTACTAATGCTCCATTATCTTCTCGAGAAATCAACTCAGATATGCTCCAGCATGTGTGTACTAGTAGTCTAGTACTAGTGCTCCATCCTCCTCTCTAGGAATCAACGTGTGCTTTGTTCTCCAGAAGTAAATAATGTGTGCTCTTGTAAAGAACATAGATATAGATTAGATTGTTTGCTAATGCCAGACTGCTACATGATGCATTTGTTGGATCACTTTATTCATGTTAGGCTTGGTTCTTAATTCTGAAAGTCTCAAATATGAATATAGCAAGTACACAGTTATATGCTTCTTGTCACCAGTTTTTCATGTCCCCATTTAGAATTTGAGAGATTGATGGAGAGTAAAAGCATGTGGTTCCAACTGCATATTTAATCAGATTCAGATCTTGTAGAATGATGATTTGTGCTGAAAGCTGTTTTTATTTTATATTTATTTTGATATTTGTGTTGTAGGTATTGTTCGTGGAAGTGGCTCTGGCTTCTTGACCGTCTTCCTGCCTCCGCTAGGTGACTAGCTGCAGGCATGAGTTCCACCACCAGTGCATCCTTGAGCGGTGAGGACTCGATCTGCAATTGCTTCCTGCTGTTCTTTGGGTTTGTTTTTCATGTGAGTTACTAGGATCAGTCAAAGTGGGTAGTGTCTAGGACACTTCACAGTGGCTCTATTGTGTTGCCGTGTAGCTTCATTGGTAATCTCGATGACTGCAGAATGCGCCGCTAATCTGAATCTCTACTCCCACACACACTGAATATAATTCGGTGAAAGCACAAGCTCTGTTCTGAATTAACATTTGGTTGTTAGTTGTCATAGATCACCTCAGTTATACTGCTGATCTGTGATCCTTCCAAAACCATAGTATCACCTAAAAATGATCCTTTTCATCAAACAATGTTCTGTCTTTTTTACTCCTTGTCATGATGCACTTAAAAAATTAAAACCGTAGTATCAGTAACTGTATGCTGTCAATAGATTTTATACTCGCCTTTTGATATCATTTGGCACATTCTGTACATGCTGTGTTATCCATATCTGTAAGCTCAGGTTTAGAGTTCACAATTTGGTTCAATACACATGATCTACTTTCTTGTGTTACCTTATTTATAGCTTCATTTTTCCTACGACAATTACATATTCTTATGAACATGTGATTTGTAATGTCACTGTACTAAAAAATTGAAGTCTATGCCAAATGTCAATGTTCTTTTTTTCAGAATGAACATAGAGTTTGAGTGGAGCGCACGAGTAATGGGATGGTCCAAATGAAGCCAAGACAAGCTTCTGTGGTGTCTAGGCATTTTAGATGTTGCTGTTTACTATTTAGGAAAAGTGTTGAATATCTTTATTGTTCGATGGTTTGAATAATGTGTGTGGCTAGCCTGAGTTTGAATTTGGATCGTTTAATTCCAGATGTGAATAAATTAAACAAGTTAATATTTTGGTTTAATGGAATCTGTTCAAATGGTTTGTTGATGTCTATTGAGTTTCTAATTAATTAATGGCACTATAATATTGTTCAGGGGCACCAAACCAAAACCAAAAGCGTCGTAAAAATGGCTATTAGCAACCATATATTTCTGTGGTAATATATCCTATAGCAACAAATAATCCGCGTAGCAATAGAGGCTGAACCTTATAGCAACGACAATGTGAACGTGGCAATTGTATATATTGTCACCACTTCTTGGTGTTGTCACATAGGTCTTGTTACCGCACTCATTATGTGATGCAATAGACGTTGCACCTTATAGCAACGACAATGTGAATGTGGCAATTGCACATGTTGCCACCACCTCTTGGTGTTGCCACGTAGATCTTGTTGCCACACTTGTTATACGATGCAATAGAGGCTGCACCTTATAGCAACCAAACCTTAGACGTGGCAATTGCACATGTTGTCACCACTTTTGGTGTTGCGACATAATCCTTGTTGCAACACATGTTATGCGTGGCAATATATTGTCTTGCAACACATATTCGTCGTTGCTAGTGCACCATTTGCTATGACATGGGCAAGTTGCCATTGCAAGGTCTAGCAACGCCTAAGGTGTTGCATTAGTTGTTGTTGCCACACCTACAACCGTAGCAAAATCTTATGTTGCAACGCCTACGTGTTGCAAATCCAAAACACATTTTGCAACCTAAGCAGAAAAGCGTTGTCCAAAGCTTTACCCATGCAAGCGCCTGTAATGCCTCCCAACGAAAAAAGTGTTGTTATTTCTAATATTGCAACTATTTTGGGCCTATTGCAACACTTTTTGGGCGTTAAAACATGGTCAAAATTTAGTAGTGAGTGTATGATGTTCTTTGTCTCTGGCCACCTCCATGGACGAGGCTTGAGGCCGAGAGAAAAAGCAAACAAAACTCACACCGAGATCGATCGGCTTCCCTTCCCACTCCATGGATGAGATTTGGAGCGAGGGCACGGATGCAAGAAACCAAAGAAATCACCGCGTGCCCATATGCCATGGACAGGGCCGGTCCTGAGTTTTTTTACCTAGAATGAAGCTAAATTTTTAGGCATTTTTATATAAACATGTTAATAGTATAGTACTGCTCATTGCTAGTATATATACACATATACGAAATGTTACTAATAAGCAGTTAACTGAATACAAAAGCAATATTCATATGAAACAGTTTGTACACATATCAAGTTAATTCAAAGATTTCTTCTAACATTTCTCGATGTGAAGTGATCGATGATGGTGTCAATACCAATCTCATCCAACAATCGCTTCTCAATGCTTAATGTTGCCAATCCATTTAGCCTCTCTTGTGACATTGTAGATATCAAATTCTTCAACATTTTTATTTTGAGAAGCTTCTTTTAGCTGATGCCACAGTCACTAGCATAGTAAACAAGATGCGATAAGCAATGGAAGTACTGGGATGACAATAACTTTCTGTGACAAACTCAAAAATCTCCATAGCTGTCATTTGACTATCTGGCAAAGCAGATTGCATAACCTTTAGCTCAGAAATTAGATCATTTAAATCAATGTCAGATGAGCCATTTAGAGAGAAAGCTACTACCAATGCTGTGCAACACAAATTTAGTTCAGGACCATCCAAGGACTTCAAGCTTGTTGTACTCGTTAAAAACCCAAATATTTCATTAAATTCCTGGAGTTGTTCAAATCTACTTTTCAATGATCTGATTAGCATTAGATGGTTCCTCCACAACAACTACCGCCAATGCATCTGGATCTCTTGAAGTGCTTATATTACTCTTAAGAAATTTATGAAGAGCCCATCTATGATTATATCAAATCATCTATTTGCTTTTTCTTCTTTCTTTTGTCGTTACTAGAAGCATACTTTCTTGATGACATGGTACTGTTAAAATTCAGAGAAACAATTAGTAACTGCAATTTTATAAAGAAGGGATCACGCGAGGAACAATTAGTTACTAAATTTCATATTCCTACCTTGGTGTGCTGCCACCTGGCGCCTACCCTTTCTCTGCTGCCTGCTGGAACAGCCGAATAGGGAATCAGGGATGAGGGAATTCTGGAATAGGGATCAGGGATCACGTGAGAACCTGGGAGGTGAGACTAGGGCCCTGTGTTAGATCTCTCTAATTGTGATTCACTGATTTGCTGCCTCCTCCGCTCTGCTGGGACGCCGCCAAGAACATCGTCAGGCTCATCACGCACCCAAGCTGCATGCGCAGGAAGGAAGGAAGGCCGAAGGTGGAAGGTCATGTCATGGGACCCCAGGAGCGTGCATGATCACGGGACGCGGGGAGTCGGGAACTAGCGTACTACTAGTTTTTTTAGGGAGCTTTGACTTATTCAATCAGCAGAATAAGAATTACAAACTCCATCACGAGGCTTCAAAAACCAAACATGTCTACGTATCGATAAATTTATAGAGCTTCTAGCAACTAGATGGGCGTCATTATTCGATCTTTGCCCTTCAAAGAGACAAAATCAGCTCTTGTGAAGCTCCATCTCCTAGCATTGATCTCCTAGTTGAAGGCTCCATACCTGTCGAACCCCTCACCCTCGAAGCTCCTCATCGCATTGGCACAGTGGCTCGCTACGAAGAACGAGTACAGGCCAAGGTTGCTAGCCAAAGCAAGCCCTTCACGGCGAGCCATTTCTTTGACCACCTCCGCGTCATTGTACCCTTCGAGCAATAGGGCTGATGCCCCCGAAAAGTGGCCATTCTTATCGCTATCCACAATAGCTGTTGCTACCTAGCCCGAGTTCGTGGACATCACCGTATCCACATTAATTTTTGCCAAACCGCTAGGGGCCTTATCCAGCGCTGGACATCCACCGCTGTCGGGCTCACCTCCGGGCTCCCTTGTTTGATCTCCTCAAGGTTCCCGATGAAGCATTCAACAAAACTATGTGTCGAGAACAGGCTCTGAAACTAATTCTCATGGATCGCCTTATGTCTCGCATACCACACCGCCCATAGATGGACAACCAACCTTGTGACTTCTTCATGCTTTAGTGAATTCATGACTTCCGCTAGCCATGCTTGAGCATCCATCTAGAGCACCTAGCTCAAGAACTCACTGATATTCTCCCTCTCAAGAGCCCAAACACTCCTAGCCAGATTGCACTCCAATAAAGCATGTCTCCACGAGTAGGCTGCACCATACAAAACACAACGCTGATTTAGTGCCATGTTCCTATGGTGTCGCATGTGCCCTGTTGGGATGGAGATCCTAGCCAATCTCCACAAAAATACCCAACTTTCGATGGTACTTTAATACTCCATAGCTCGGTCCATTCTTTCTCCTCAGCACTAACATTAGATTGGCTCGGTCGCACCTCAACAGAAGCTGCCAATGGCTCCCGGCTCCTCACCAGCAGACGATAGGCTGATCGAACTAAAAAAACCCCGGTCTTCTCATAGTGCCAGGCCCAATAATCCTCCTGCGAAGTAGTACTCAAAGGAATATTTTCAATAAATTCCCAATCCAGCGAGCTAAATGAACCCCACACTAATTGCCTGTCCCAGCTTTGAGATGCCTAATCGATGAGTTTGCACATCAACAGTGGTGAATCCGACCTTGTTGTTACCATAGGTAGCATGAGGCCATCCCTTGGAATACACGGCATGTTCCATATCCTTGATGATTCCTAGGAGCCGATCCGATGGATCAAACCCTGGCGGAGGACGTGAACGCCGTCTACCACTGCACGCCACACCCTCGATGGTGATGCACCCTGCTTAGCATCTAAGAGATCACCAGTTGGAAAATATATGGCCTTTAGGACCCTTGCACTGAGCGCCTCCGGATCCTACAACAAACGCCACGCCTGACGTGTGAGTAAGGCTAGATTAAAGAGTTCAATGTTTCTGAAACCTAGGCCTCCCATACATTTACGCTTCGACATATTGTCCCAAGCCACCTAGCAGGCCTCCATTTGCCTTCCTTGCTTCCCCACCAAAAGTCACACAAAACACCATCGATATTCTTGCATAGACCTCTTGGCATTTTGAAGCAAGACATAGAGTATGTCGGGATGGCTTGGGCAACGGCTTTAATTAGAA